CTGACAGATTTAACATAAACTTCTAATTCCTTAACATTCTGTCAATATTTCAGAGTACAGGTAGATCTACATCAGGGTTTTTCAAACTTGGCAACTTTAAGATGTGTGGACTTCAACTTCCAGAATTCTGGGAAGTTGAAGTCCACACATCTTAAAGTTGCCAAGTCTGAAAAACACTGATCTACATGGACATGTTACCTCAGTGTTTCAATAAGCATAGAAACATACAATACAGGTTCCAACTCACTTTCTGGATGCTGCCAAAAAATCTGATTCCCTTTATGGATATTTATAGAAAGCCTATAGTCATCACATTTTCTTATAATAAAACATGTGTATGAGATGTTGCCATCAGTCCTTAATTTATTGCTAAATATTTTCTTTAAGTGAACCTCCAAAATCTATCTTGCCCACCTACTATTTCATATTTTATCAACAGACTTCTTGTGAATCTCACTATGCAGGAATAGGGCTTTTTTTTTAATGTATTGCTTTAAAGTTTAAAGGAATAATTATTAATATAGAATGCTCACTACCTGTCTCTGTCCACCCTTGGAACTCAAGACACTTTCTCTTAATCTGGAAATAAAATTGTAATCCCTGCAAAAGTAATTGGAAATATGTCTAAACCTTCAGTAGTGATAAAACAAACAGATTGCTGATCAAGTTTTTTAAAAACTTATTTTAAAAATAACTCTTGTTTGTGTTAAAACAACTTTACTGAATCACGATTCCCTCAATGGATGTGGTTAGCTGAGCAATGATATATTAATGGCATATCCTAAATTTATGTATTAATAAGGTCCAACAGTTCCAAAAGGACTTGCTTGACTGGGGAGCATCCATTATTTCTATAATTTTTCCTCTTTTAATTTTAGGCTCAATTTCATTGAAAGAACCAAACAAAATGCAGCTTTTCCTCCAGAAGCTGCTTTTTTGTACTGAATGTGACATGGTAATACCTTCAAAAATATAAGCTACATATATTCCTGTGTTGTCATGTTTTTACACTATGTTTCAGAAAAACAAACTTGTCATTATATAAGTTATTTTTGTAGAAAAAAATAAACAGATTAAATTTTTCAAAACTTCATTATGTTACTTAATCCATGTGTTCAAATGTTCTTTTTGTATTCTATGTACAATGCAGTATTGCAGATAGCTACTTAGGAGTCCCACACAATTCCATGGAACACTTTTACTTAAGTGTTTATACACATATAAGAAAAGGCTCTTAGTGCTGGAATTTAACTTGCAGCAAAATATACAGTCTTGAGGTCTCCTTTAAACTGCCTTAAACAAATATGATAGATATGTGCTTATATTATTTGGTACCTGCTATTGAGAATGTGTTTTGTTCAAGACCATCATATTATGTTGCTTCAGTTTGATTGGACATAGAGAGCTTAATTGACTTAACATTAGCAGTTTAGGCCTATACCACAATGGAGTATTGATTGGTAAAATAAATGGAATATTTTCAAACATGAAGGGGGAACATATTTTTGAACATCCCTCATTAAAAACGTACATAATAAAACTACCATATCATGGAGCATTTCTAGCCCATCCATCTGTGCCGTGAGTCTTCTACTTGCTGGAATGATCTTTCCCCCCTTGAATTGAGCATTCAAAGATGTTCAGGAGCCCAACACATGATTCAGTTGCATATATAAAAGAGACTTCATGGGCTACATAGTTGTAATCCAGAATATATCCAACATCTTCACAGATGTGTTCCTATTAAATACAATAGTGGAGAGGTCATTTATATGACAATCCTTATATTGGGATCTATCACTACTGTACAACATTTTCTGGGCAACAAACTGGTATACTAATACTATACTGTACAATGGTTAAAAATAATGGTATCATTTGAACACTGAAGACATAATCTTTCATAAGTCTCAGTGGTAAATAAATGAATTCACCTAATTTAAAAATACAGCCCAAAGAGCATAAATATATAAAAATGAAAAGAAAAGAAAAAAGAAGAAAAGAAAAGAAAAAAGAAAAAAAGAGAAGAAAAAGCAATCCCAGGTGTTTCTTATATAAATACCTCCCACTGTAGCAAGAAAAAGTAGTGAATCACAACATCTTCATTTTGTAAACTTGTGAATCTTCTATCAATTTCCTTTATGCTGTAATGCTACTCACAAATCGCATATAGCATTTTAAGAATATTGCTAGAAACAAATCCCTACTTTTTTTTAAAAAAGAGACACTAATGAGGAAGAGCTATCTATGTCCACTATACACCCTCTACTGGCTACATGAGTTTTTACAGAATCTTTTCTTAAATTCTAACCCTATATTTTTTGTTAGAACCAGTATTGGCATATTTACTTTTTAAATGCTTTCTTTTGCACTACAGTTCTTATTGCTTGATTCCAGAAGTAGAGAACTACAATTTTATATTTTTTTGTTGACCAAGAACTGTAGTCTCAGCAGAAAATGCTGGTTGTTTTTCCCTAAATAATGAGATAGCAAAGAAACAAGAACATGTAATAACTGGTCTCTCTATGATGACAACAAAAATCAAACCTAAGCTCACGTTGCTAGAACTGTTATAAACAAATGGACATATATCAGTTATTTGGCTGCAGACATATACTGGAACTATGCTTTGAATACAACACACAGTAAACTAATATAATTTCAGCTGATACATGAATTAAATAGCAAGGCAGAGACAAGTTAGCTTCACACTACATGCATATAAGTGTCCTAAGAGAATGGTTATTTATCTGTATTCCCACCCAAATTGTGTAGCAAAATCAGTTGCTATATCCATTCTATTTGAGAATCTGTGTATGAAACCTTTTTCCTTGCTGATGGGATACTAAATTCATAATTTAACCACATAGTGATGTTTTTGAAAAAAATGTACACAGTGCTAACCCACCAGAATACCTCATGCTATTGCATGGTATTAACTTTTAAATTAAATTGATATTTGCTATTATCTGTGCTATTAACTGATTTAAATGAATAGATTGAACTGAGATATTTCAGGAGTATTCATAATAATAATGATGAACCAGATCTCATGCATGACCTTATCTTATTCTGAGAACTGTAATCAACTCTAACTATCTGAAATAAGTAATCAGAAAATGATATTCTTTCGGTACTAAATATTGCATGACTCAGAACATATTTCAATTTTTCTGAGCTCTAATACACATGAAAACATACTATCTAATTTTCATCTTTATCTTTGCAACAAGACCAAGATGGCTTCTAAGACCAGTTTGTTTTTCACTGAGACTGATCAAATTGTTTCAGACAGATCAATACTACATTAACTTCACAATCAAATTCTATCCATTATCAGCATGCTGTTTTTAATTATTTTAGTGAGTCTCTTCATGTTCTCAATAGAATAAATGTAAGTGCTAACAGAAAGAGCAGCTGATTCCAGAAAATACCAAGATGAGCAACTACTTGATTATAGACAAATCAAAGCTGCAGAACAGATTAGTAAACTTACCTTTTTTCATAAGCAGTCATTATTTTCTGTTTAATTAACTTGTAACTTAGTTCTTAGTTCAAAAATGTAACTTCAAAACCATTTCCAGAGGGGAACTTGGCTTATGCTTTTGCAAAAAAAAATAAATAAAAATCTTGTAGTAGTTCAAAGACTAGAAAATCACTTCACATCACAGTCCTCTCCACAGGATGACTGAAATTTAATACGGAGAAAGGACACACACACAATTTTCTAATTGACTCAGTCCACTTTCTTGGGGTAGCACCTAAACCTTCAACGAAAATCCGGACGAGCACTAGATGGCATCAAAGAGATTCAGAAACCCCTAGCCTTTTGCTGCCATTCAGCGCTCGTCCGAATTTCTCCAGCCCCTCCATAAAGTAATCAAATGTACTGGTATGGCGCAGGTGTAGGTTGTTCGTACTTCGTTGTATATGTGCATGATCCCTTCCGAGACCAACGAAATCCCAGAATCTGTTCAGAGTTAACTATTAGTCTGCTAGGCCGTTGTAACGACAAAAGGTCCTCGAACATGTACAGAATGCATTTCTTTCTCACTGATATGCCAAGCACAACCCATCCCTTCATTTCTCAGAGGGCACGGGTTCTGGGACAGACCCAAGGCCTATCACGGAAGGTGAACACTAGCGCCACAACTGTCATAGCTTGCCTGTAGCAGCTCCATTTCGTGCTCCGGAGAAAGCCTCAAGGTACCGTTAAAAAAGTTTCATTTTAAAAAAAAAAATCGCGCACCGCCCCACGCCACTTCTGCCGCGGTAGCTGTCACGACGTTTCCGGTTTTCCCGCCCACACCTGTCGTAGGACGTTACGTATTACGCTCCGATAGTGACGTCTTACGGCGATTCTACGGCACGCCACTTGTGACCAAGATCATCACAAGCGGAGGAAGACGGCTCCCCCATCTGGTAAGCAAAGACCAACGGTTGGCAGTTACCGCGCGTTTCAGGAAGACCTCCGCATGTGACTATTATAGGAGTCAATCTGTGGGTCAGATGGTTTTCCCAGACTTTCACCGGACCTTTTTCCTTTCCGTAGGGCTTTTTGGGCCTTTCTGCTGCCGTCGTTTTTCCCCCCTTCCTCCTCGGTAATGGGCTGGAAGGTAAAAAAAAAAATACAAGTTTTTGGCCAATCAGTACCCGTTGCCGCCACCCGAGGCTTATGAACGCATTTCTGAGTGGTTGGACAAGGAGGGCGGGAATATAAATATACATAGCGATTGGCTAACGCTGCAAGACTTTTCGTCCATATTTTAAGCGGGGGGGGGGAAGAGGTCATGTCTCGAGTGCGCATGCGAGAGAATAATTATGTACGACTTCTGTCGTAGTGCGCAGGTACCAGGTGCGACAACTATTCTCCAGAAATGCTAAAGCAAAGTATCCGAGAATAAAAGTTTCTAATGGCTAATTCAAGATACCAGATTTGGAATGCAAAAATCAGGTGACCGTGAAGTGGCAACAAGGAACGCAGAAAACACTAATTCTGTGCTGCTGTCTAGCAAATCAGATCTGGAAGCCTTTACTAGGCACAAATATAGACCATTTGATTTATCTAGTGAATAGTTGGAAATGAAGAGCTTAGAGCAGAGCAGTGTTTCTCAGTCTTGGCAACTTTAAGATGTGTGGACTTCAACTCCAACTTCAAGATTCTGGGAGTTGAAGTCCACACATCTTAAAGTTGCCAAGACTGAGAAACACTGGCTTAGAGTACACACTCTGATTAGATGTCTGTCATTCTGTCAAGATTTCTGTAAAAGTCTGTTTTATGAGTAGATCCAAAGGGAGAAGTGGAGCCAGATGAAGGATCCTGCATACTGAATTAAAAAGTGTGCAGCATTATGGGACATTTGGCTTAGTCGTAATAAAGATCTTTTTTCAGTATCTTTAAAACATACTCAGATGCACTTAACATTAAACATTAGTTTAGTGGCAACATTTGGATGAGCTCTGAGGCCTGCCATTCAAGACTTCGGGAGGCTTCCAGTCGTGGTTCAATAAGGCTAAACAATATGCAGCCACACCGAAACCTTATGAAATCTTAATAAATCAAAGGTCAAGGAAGGACACAGCACTGGTATCCTAGAATTGTCTTTTGTGTTAAGGGCATTGCCCCCTAAATTGCTCTCTTCAAAACAGCCCAAGCAATGCTGGTACAGAATGTCCCAGCCTTTTGAAACAGCAAGATTCTCTGCATTTCCTGGGGCAAATAATCTGCTTAGCAACTTCCTTCAACCTGGTTGTTATATGGTGGGCTTCAACTTCCATAATCCCTTTGCCATAACACCATTCTATTTCTGTTCTGTCATCACAGTTGTAGCTCAGTGTATTTTAATGGTTTTAGATTGGGGAAGGCTGAAACAGAACAACCAAAGCAATTCCATACTGAAACTGGGCTAAAAAGCCAAACTGGTGTCAGTGGATTCTGTTGTATTGTCATAGCCTTCTGACACAGGAGAATCTGCAGATGTTCTTCAAGCGTATATGGAAACAATTCTGAGTTTTGCATAGTTCCTATTAAGAGAATGTGATAGCAGTGATCTATGAGATTCATGGTAGTAGTTTTCAACATCCAAATAATGAGATGTCAGCAATAGTGACCAGGTACTATAATATCAAGGAAAAAGCTCGAATCCTGATAACTACCTGGATGTATCTATGTGGTTTTCTTGGCAACAGAACAGAATGCTTTACAATTTATTTCTTGCAGCATGATTTTTGACTTCCCAATATGATTCACCACCTAAAAAGAGATGCTTGGTAAACCTAAGAGCTTGGTGTGGACTTATATTTTGAATAAAAATGGATGTAGAAGAATATTTATTGTGAAATGTATCTTCAGCATACTTGGACCCCTCACGTATGTTGCTTGTTGTATACAGTAGTTGTAAAGATTTGTATTAGGGTTGTGCAGTACTCAGCTTTGTTCGGAAAAATAATTTTTTGGAGCACGCAGGGAAGCTCACATAGCACCTGTTGGAAACTTCTTATAGCAGCTGCACCTTTTCCTGGGGTTGTGTGGCTGCCATTCCTGGTACAAAATGGATTGGGTTTAAGAATTTGCTGACAAGTGATGTGGGTGCACTTCAAAGCACCTTTTTTTCTTTGAATCCAAAATGCTATATAATCCCAATTTGTGTATTTAAAAGCCAAGGAAGTGTAAATGTAAAATAGCCATGTATATTTTTAATTATTGGCATGATGTAGTTATACAACCATCCAACACTCTGCACGTTTGTTCATGCACTTGTATGAAAGGAACTTACTCAGCTTTGTATGAAAATGCCCTTTACTTTAGAGATATTTGTACTTGTGCTTTAAATGCATATGGTTCAATGAAGTTGCACAACTATGTAAAATGTATTATAACATTACTGAGGGACTGCCTCGCCCCCACGGTTTCAACCCGTCCCACCCAATCTCACAGAGAGGGCATGCTCTGGACCTCCTCAGCAAAAGAACTCTGACTAGTGGAGTCCAGAAGGCGGGCCTTCTCTGCTGTAGCCCCCGCCCTTTGGAATATCTTGCCCCCGGAGGTGAGACAGGCACCCTCACTCCCGGCCTTTCGGAGGGACTTGAAGACCTGGCTCTGCCATCTAGCCTGAGGTGGGGAGGGAGGTTATCAGAAATGGGGG